AAAAAAAACCAACTAGATGGGATAAATAAAATACCCGAAGATGCAGATACAGCTCCAGCGCCTCATCTGTGCCACTCACGCAGCAGCCTAAACACACCAGTAGAAGGCAGAGACATCAGATTGGGTCAAAGACCTAACTATGGAGTGTCTACAAAAAATACATTTCATTTATACAGACTTTGGTGAAGAGTAAACAAATAGAGAAAGAGTCTAAGAGAACAGTAATCACAGGACAGATGGAGTGGACATGCTGGTATCACACAAAGCCACAGGGCAAGGGCCCAGGGGACAGCAGGAAAGAGGGGCCTCTCGGATAACAGGGATCAGTTCACAAGAGGACATTACAGTCCTAACCATATATTCACGTCATAATAGACCTTCAAAATATAAAAAACAAAAACCAAGGAGAGTGACAAGAGAAACAGGCAAAGTGACAGTCAAGGTAGGAACGTTTCAGCACTCTCCCTCAGTGACTGGCACAACAAGGAGACAGAAGATCGGCAAACATGACATTTGGGCTATGAAAACCCTCTCAGGACAAGTTTCCTATTTCCTTCCTAGATGCTAAGTGCATCTCAAATGTGATATGGGCATCAAACTGAGTCTGAGATTTCCTCGTTTGAAGTTTCCTTTCTAGAATCCCAGCCCCTTAGCTGTACAGCAGGTCAGATCACCTCATGTGCAGGGTTACTGAGACACAGAAAGCAGTCTGGACACCATAAAGCACTACGAAAATTCTAGCAATCTTTCCCCTCTTTGTCTGCTGCTCTAAGATTGGTCCACATTACAGGGTCAAGAACTACCCAGCCCCAGAAGCTGACTGCCACCCTGCCTCCCTGCTAGCTGTGCTGCCCAGCTGGCCCCTGCCCATGGTCTCAGCATTCCATGCCCTGGCAGGGCACTCAGAGCTTCCAAAACACTGGTTCAGCATCAGCTGGTTTCCCAAACCTATTCCCTACAGCTTCTGCCAGGTGCTCTTTGCCAGCAGACCCTGTCAGGTCAGTGCTGCACATCTGTGGGGCTTGCAGGCCATGGATAAGGCTGATAGCAACTGTGCAACACCCACCCAAACTGCAGTACTGCCTGGACTGGAGACCCCCGTGTCCTCTCACACATTCTACTCACGGGACAGTTCAGTCACAGTGTCACCAGCCCCAGTGTGTGCTGGACTTACCCAGAATTCCTGGAGCTCTGTTAGATGGCTGACATTTTCAATCTTTTTGATTCTATTTGACGCAATGTCCAACATGGTGAGTTTGTTCTAAAATAAGGAAATAAAATATTTCCTGGATTACCTCAATTTGACAATGATTGGTGACCATGTGTGTAGTGTCTCGCCTTCCTAGGACAGGCGGGCAAGGAGGGTGATGTGACTGCCCACTTCCTGAAGCCTCCCTGGGCCAGAGCATCGCCAGGACCTGCATAGCCCCTGCCTTAGGTGCTTGTGGTAAGGGGTCTGAGACTGTGCCAGACTCTGGCCCGAGCTTCCAGACCCTTGCCCATTAGGATGCCAGTGAGTTTGATGGTCCTGAGGGGAACAGGGTTATCTGGGGCTCTGAGATGGCTCTGAAGGTAGGTGATAACTGTAGTAACATTTACTTTATGCTTATTGTGAGGAAATACATGATAACAAGTAGTCCTCAAAATGGGAAATCTCTGCATTTAGGGAAGAGGAACTCGGAGGGATGAGAAACTGTTGAGGCACACAGTGGAGGTGAGAGGTGGTACTTCAGACCCAACTCTGAGCTCACCTCTGGAAAGAGGTCCCCAGGACACAGATGCAGAGAGGGGAAAGCCTGGACACTGAGGGGATGAGTCTCTTGCTACCTGGGAACTCAACAGCTGATGGGAACACAAAGGTGAGCAGGTGCTCTGGGCTGACTGCCCAGGGCGTACCAAGGTGTGAGCTCCCATGACTGTCTACTCTAACAGCACATTGGATATGGACTTTCCTGTACACATGGGCTAAACCAGGGGGATTTTGGTTTTTTTTTAAAGCTTACAGAGTTTCAATATTTAACATGAGAACAATTTTGACTCTGTCAAAGCACCACTGTTTGCTACAGTGTGAGATTCTCTGATGCACTCCCTTCCTCTCTGCCCATATGCCCCTTTTCCCCCACCCACTTTAAGAATTCTCACCTATTTTCTTTTCTTTTTTTTGTTTTGAGACAGAGTCTCCCAATGTCGCCCTCTGTAGAGTACTGGGACGTCACAGCTCACAGCAACCTCAAACTTTTGGGCTTAAGTGATTTCCTTGCCTCAGCCTCCCAGGTAGCTGGGACTACAAGTGCCTGTCACAATGCCCGGCTATTTTC